CAATCCAAAGGAAAATAATGAGAACATAGCTTTTGTTGCATCTTCTGCTAACATTTTGTTGGCTTCTACAAATCTCCCGTTTCTGTGCAACTTATTCCAAGGTAGGTGTAATTATCGACAATTTCTGTAGTTTGATTGCTTAAAGTAAATAAGTATTTCAGAGTGCTGTTTCTGGCAGGCCCGCTTCCAAAAACTATTATTTTGGTTTTGGAGAAGTTAACATTGAATTTCCATCGTGAACAATATCTATGAAATTTGTCAAGTGATTGTATTAGATTTGCAGCGTCTTCCCTGAATAAGACAGCTTCATCTGCATATAACAAAACATTAAACTACACGCAAACTATTAGATCGGTTTCGCTTTGGTAACCTAAATAAACACATTAACGACCTCGTTTCAGTAGGAAGGGCTCAATATCAATGATGAAAGTGAAAACAAAAGTGGCGAGAGATTTTGGCCCTGTCTTCGTCCAGTGCTGCGTGGGAGGAATGGGGATATTTGATTATGTAGCATAACAGTGGATTTTATGTTATGGAGTGAGTGAGTGAGTGAGTGAGTATGGTTTTACGCCGCTTTTAGCAATATTCCAGCAATATCACGGCGGGGGACACCAGAAATGGGCTTCACACATTGTACCCATGTCGGGAATCGAACCCGGGTCTTCGGCGTGACGAGCGAACGCTTTAACTACCAGGCTACCCGATCGTCCCTTATGTTATGGTACATGTTCTTTAGTAAGTTAAGAAAATTATCATATATAACATAATTTAGCAATTTAGATCGCGTTTCAATAAAGACGCAACATAGTTTTCGTTTTGCTTGTTTTAAAATTTCCCTAAAAGATACCTTGTCACTTGTGGAGAACCTGGAGTTAAAATAGAATTTATTTCTTCAAACTCAATGAGCCTCGCATTAAGGATACTTGTGAAAAGTTTTCCGAAACAGCTGAGAATTGTGATAGGTTAATATGAGATCGGATCTTGGTGTTCACCCTTTTTCTTATATATCGGTTTGATTTTACCCTTCAGTCAGCAGTCTGGTACAAATCCAGAACTAAGTATCAAGTTAAAGAAATCAGTTAGGCGTGGTATTAAATGAATTGTAGCATCAATAAAATAATCGTTTTCAACGGAATCTAACCCAGTATCATTCATTCTTTTAAGGTTCATAGTGGCGGAAAGGACGTCTTCGACCGATATAACCTTATTTAAACATCAATGTCGTAGTGTCGATCCTCTACAACATCCTCGGATACATCATCATTACATTGGGATTCAAAAGGTCTAAATAAAACCCAAAGAGCGTTTCAATATCAGGAGTATTTTCGGATTTAGTCATACGATTTTGTCATCGTATCACATTTATTTAGAAGCTTTCACTATTCTTTTGGTGAATGTTTCTTAAGGTCACGAAAGTGTTTCCTTGAATCATTTTGATATTGTTTAATACTTCTGTCCATGCATTTCTTATATGATCTTGACTTTAAATGATCGCATTTTCCTGCACTCGTTATTTGAACCACAGTTTATCTTATTTCTTCTTATTCAGTTTGTGACGATTTCTGTTCGGATTTGCCAAATCAAAACAAGGGTGTGTGACCGAAAGTTTTAAGTTGAACTTCAGGTATATCGATGATCTGATATCCTTCAACAACGGTCAAATAGACATGGTTCTTCCACTTATTTACCCAGCTTAACTAGAAATAATAGAGACGTGTTAAACCGCCTCATCTATTTTATACTTTGACCTCTGCCCAAAGATTCCATCTAATAAAAAAAACTATCCACAAGACTGTGTGACAAGAGGGATGACTTCGATTTCTGCTTTTAGAAGAGGTTAGTAATGAATATGGTAAATATTTTGTCGATTTTATTATTCAACCTTCCAATAGTCAGCTTTCCCTTTATGCCGAGCAATATTCAAGCAGCAACTTTTGAGGAACAATTCTTCAGAGGTTTCAAAGAACGTCATACGATTCTTTCTCAAGAGTTGTACGATCAAAGTTACAACAAGTCCTCAGCAAAGCCTTCAAAATGTTTTATGATAGACATGTTGAGAACATTTGACGCAGCAGTGTCAAAAATGTGTCGTCCGATGCAATTCCCTATTTTTGTACCATAATGTTGCCGTGTCTTTTGTTCAGGTGAACATATGACTTGCCTCTGCATGTGTTGGTGACGGGAGCAAGCCCGGTCGGGTATGACACGCTCACCTTTTCGAGAACACCTGGTAGCATCACTACAGGATAATGATTAATAACACATTCTCATGATATAGTCGGAATCGTACAATGAACTCGTGCAATGGAATCCTTATGGAAATTGCAAACATTTTTACCCGCTTATGTTTTTTTCTGGTGACAATTTGATTTATAGACTCCGTCAAACATATAATTGCATACTGTTGAGTACGTTGTTAAACAAACAACAAACTTTGATTTTATGGCTCCCGCAAATTTCTTTTGGGGTGGCACTGATTTCAGCTAAAATCAAAAGTAAACAATTGATGGAGAAACATGGAAGCTGTGCTCTCTTACTGTGTCATGTACATATCAAGTTAAAGGGCATCACATTGAAAAACTAATAACGGATATTTGGTCACGTGATGTGCTCTTACCATTTATACAAGGACAATTACAATTGTCCAGCTGTACATGATAAATTTGTACATCCAGACGTGGGGACAGCTACATAGACATGCCAGTTAGTGGACGAGTTGAAGGGGGTCAAACTGCCTTGGGCAGTGGCTAGTGAAAGGCGGCGAGGCTAGCCCGGATCAACCGATTACGTTTAATTTTATTGTAAACAAGGCGCTTAACCACATACGGCAATCCCAAACTAAGCTACCTCGTTCATTTCTCCATTTGCAATCTCATTAAAGTCAGATCTCTCGACAGACAGAACTCGCTGCCCGCAAATTGGTCAACGTATCCAGCATAGTGGTATGCTGTATCGGAAAATAGGACGACTAGAGCTGGACTGGCAGCCTGCCCTTTGTCCCCTAGCGGCTGCAGGCGAGGATTGCAAAGCGTTCTAGAGCAGACCGACCAGTCAAGGACAGAGATTCTATTTATCTGATGATTGTACCCGACTAACACAAACATGTTTAGTGTAATAATTTATAGTTAGGAATGGTTTAATAAATATTTTCATAATTATCTATTTATTTCGTGTGTGCGCATATCATTATACGTATGTGTGACAAAGATAGAGTTTCTTTACATCTTTCCAACTTTTAAACATCCCCTTTCAACCCAGGAACAAATAAAGCACGGCGCCGTGCAATAAATCTATAGTGACGTCATCCTATTTTATAGAAAAGCCATCCGTCCCAGGGATATTCTTTAGAAAAGTCATCTGTCCCAGGGATATTCTATAGAAAGGCCATCTGTCCCGGGGATATTCTATAGAAAGGCCATCTGTCCCAAGGATATTCTATAGAAAGGCCATCTGTCCCAAGGATATTCTGTAGAAAGTCCCTCTGTCCCAGGGATATTCTATAGAAAGGCCCTCTGTCCCAGGGATATTCTATAGAAAGGCCATCTGTCCCAAGGATATTCTAAAGAAAGTCCATCTGTCCCAAGGATATTCTATAGAAAGTCCATCTGTCCCAGGGATATTCTATAGAAAGTTCCTCTGTCCGAGGGATATTCTATATATTCTGTATTGTATTTTCTCCTTTTTTGAGTGACCAATTCGTCTAATATTGCATACATTGAGTACGTGTTTGAGAATATTCATGTGAAGAGTATCTTAGCACACATTATGGAATAAGAAAAAATATATACATCACAATGATTAGGTAAATTCAACAAATATCATAAAGGTTTCCGTCCTGTGTGACGCCATGATGGACTGACACAAACCCACACTCAACGACGACGGTAGAAATTTCCATTTCTGACTAATTCTCTTGGTTACATTGTAAAACATAACAACAAATAACAGTACGCAGATTGTCAGATTGATCTGATTACTTACTTGACACATTTATGTATATACGATCCCTCGATCAAAGTCCTCTGAAAATCCCGCGTAGTGTACATGATTTTTTGTGAACGGTCACCGGTAGAGATGTCATACGAAAATAAACATTGTTGTTCATATTTGGTAATTTCTTTGAGGTGAAAATTATTAACTCGGCATCCAACGGGTTCTTTGATCTTATCTAGTTTGTATTATCATCATCGCCTTGATAATCCACAGATATGGCGGAAACCTTTTTGTGTAGAGTCACGTTATTTATGAGTAGTAAGCAGTACGTCGGATGACGTCACTCATGACCGTGGTGTTATGTATTAACGCGCCACTACGATCATTAGAATAGACAGAATGCATGGATTGATGCTAAAAAGGGAGGATTTTAGGGTGTGTAAAAAACAGATTACTACACTCGTGCCTGTCAGATACCATTTATCTTGCAACACGTTGTTTCAAAGCTTATCTGACAGACACTCGTGTAGTAATCTCTATTTATGTGATAGGAAAGCCTGAAGTTATCGCTTTAGCGAACCAATGAGTTGCGTATAATGCCAAGAAATAAAGTCGGGGCTAATGTTGGATTCGAAACCCTCGATGTTAGGATTCTGTCATGTCTAAGGGACACAACTCCGCATATCGATTTGCAAGTCAGTGTAAGAAGTGTAAGTCATTGTCGTGGAAGTTTGTTTACTGGTTATAAGCAATAATACAACAATATGACAGCGGCCTGTAATTAGTAGACCAGACAATTCAGTGACTGATATAATGAGCATCGCCCCTCGCGATCGGCGTACGATAACACGCAATCAATTACGTCCCCCAGCCGGTCCACCCGATCAATCTATTACGACAGGCATACTTTTAAGCTGCTTGGACCTAGTCTGACTCGGGACGCCAAATGTGGAAGTAAACACCGTACATCAGTGTAAGTCCGTTAAGAAAGAGAACAGGTCTCGCCTATCCTACATCACCCACGGTTATTTATGACAGACACAGGGATCATCCATCTCCACAACATTTGCACCTTCGAGAGCATAACACTGGAACTTTGTGAACTGATTTGTGAGCTGTAAGGTCTGTACATTTCTGGATAGTAAAAACGGAGCGGTACACAGATACGGGTTAGCAGCCACTGTGCACGCCCTATCCAACAGACACTCGCAGACAAGGAACTGTAACCAGGCAAGAGTCTATTATCATTGGTTGTCATGGCTGATTTGTTATCTGTCTCCCAGGAACAGGCGGGGGTTGCCATCTTGTTATTACCGGGCTCCTAAATATATCCCCTCTCAGAAATGTGCGATGTAACCTACATTAACTGGAGTACCGCGCCGTGATTTAGAGTGCAGCTGTACAAATCCTAAACAAAAACACGTGTTCAGTAACTGTTACCTGGTCAACCTTCATTCGGACGATATAGCGCCCCCTGGCGATATCAGTGACGATGACTTTCAAGCTGGTGAGTAGAACTGAATAGCTAGTTCTGCACTCTAACTGCAATATCTGCATTAAATTTATCAAAAACCGTCTTGATTATGGAAATAGGTACAAAATGTGTTGTGTCATCAATGACATTTTTGGCCTAATGTTGAATGTGACAAATCAAACTTGTGGCAATACAAAATATGAAATGATATACACTGCAATCCTATTACACAAATATATTCCTGATTCAGGGCTGTGTATGAAAACGTAAAGTCACTGGACGCAATCTTCAACACCTACAGTGACCCAATGTTTAAAACTGTGGTTATGCATAACGCGTCAAACAAAAGATTTAGCGCCTCGCGGAGCATGCGTGGAAACGCAATGAGACGTAGTGCAGTACACGTGGTCCTCGTTGTATTCCTGTAAATCAGAGTGACAAAAGAGCTTCACGAAGTAAACCAAGAGTAATGTAGAATACTGTATGTGTTCCTGGGGGTGATTTACGTGTGTATGATGGTTAGCAGGATAAGATCGGTGGGTGAATGTACATTCTTCAGTGACCAGATTAACACGTATGAACACATAGGCATTCCTATAAGGTCTTGGAATCTGAAGATATTTTAAGTGTTTATTCACTTTGAAACATTACCTGTGATTTTGTTGATATATACACCCTGAGAAAAAGGCCACACTAATACATGCTTGCAGTTTCCAATGAAGTGTCCTTTCTTACAAGTGCAGTCCACGCACCTGCTACAGTGCACTACACATAACAAGAAATGGAGGAATGATATTTGCACTGAAAGCATATGTATAAATAGGACGTTCCATTGTACTACCCAGATTACATGTGTTATCTCGTGGGCGCCCCATGCTCGTTTATACACCGGTCTTTATATAAACTCCTCCAGCGTGTGATAAACGTGTCAACGTGTTATATGATGGTGTGGACTGACTCCAAACAATCTGGTGAGTAGCATAAACTTTAGATTAGAGCAATTTGTAACATTCATGCCGCCATAGTTGTCATCTTTACGGGATAATTGTGTGTGAATATTTGTTTAACAAATGACATAAGGTTAAACATTATGGAGGTTTCCTAACGTGGCAAATGTTGATAGATTCATATACTTTTAGACACGACGCTAGTATCTTATCTCGAATGGTTTTTGAAGCTCCTCACACGGAAACCCGTCTAAAATTGAATGGCGCATTCGTTTTAACGAGTCATTAACATATATTCATTCCATTCTTCGTATAGAATAATTTCCACAAAGATCAAATAAGGTTTTAAATTGATATTTTGAAAATATCTGTGAAAATGGAGATACGAAATTAAAAGATATTGAAAGTTGTCCACCTTTAGGATCGAACATTCGCAATGTGAAAATGCCTAGTCCACCTATACTTCAGGTTCTGTGACAGCATACTAGCGGGAGTCTTAGCTTTAAACTGCCGTCGTTTAGCTCTTCTGGTTCAAAACAACAAGTAGTATTTTCAGCAATTTAAAAAATATTCCTGCCATATGGATTAAATCATGTTACATATTACCGTTTCTGTATATATTTGATAACCTGTTAGTATATGGTATCATTTATACTAGCATGTATTTGATTGTCATTTTGTGCACTGCGATGCCCCTTCATACGCACTCATGCAAGAAATCAAGTATCTTTCATAAAAAAAACAAAAAACATTACAAAGGTGACACATGCCATCTTCATCCAGATGCTATGCGTGCCCTGTCGGGTGTCTATATATATACATATCAACATAACCACCGCCAGTCTTGTCAAAACCAGAACTCTTCGTGTTACTGTTGAGAAACAGGACAAGGATATATATAGTGGTTAGAAAGGACTTCAGGAGTTATACACCCTTGTGTCTATACCCATACCTTTGGCAGCTGAATGTTTTGTTCAGAATAGGACAAATGGACTGATCGACACAAATCAGAATTGTGTTTCGAACCAATAATAGCTTTTTTGTAGTATTCGCTGGTCTAATGTTCGATTCCAAACCAGGCTTTCGGGTTAGAAAAGATCCCTTACAACCTATGCTTGTGAGAGGCGACGAAATGGATTGGATTTCTGAGCGGTCTGCTGCTCACATGGAGTCTAGATCTAGCTGTTATGAAGGTGACTGTGCTTGTCGTAAGAGGCGACTAACGGGATCGGGTGGTCAGGCTCGCTGACTTGGTTGATGCATGTCATCGATCCCAATTGCGTGGATCGATGCTCATGATATTAATCACTGGATTGTCTGGTCCAGACTCGATTATTTACAGACCGCCGTCATATAGCTGGAATATTGCTGAGTGCGGCGTAAAACAACAAACCAGCCAACCATCCAAATAGCTGTTATGATGAGGGTGAAGCAAAGAACATTGTCTAGGTATAAGTAGGAATATCAATTGCTAGTGTGAGTATGGACACTTTATTGCTGTCGCTATAACCAGGTGGGCACTGTACATAAATGGACACGCAGTCGTGGAAAGAAAGTTTTAAAAAGTAGAAAATGGTAGACATATGGATGATATTTCCTAATTTGACCAGGTTGATGTCCGATGCAATTCCCTTGCACCATGTGTTCCTGTGCTTGATCAGGTGATCACTTGACTTGTCTTTGTATGTGTTTGTGACATGTGTCACCGTAGGGGATTCTGACGTTGTTTATGATATGAATGAATGGTCTGACGATTATTTACAGGCCGCCGTCATATAGTGACATGGCCATCCACACACACGCACACACACACGCGCGCGCACGCACGCACGCACGCACACACACACACACACACCGCAAACCTACACACACACGTACACATTCACGCACACACACACACGTACACACACGCGCGTACACACACAGACACAAACGTACACACGCAACCACACACACTTCCATACGTAATAATGCTTTCCACTTCTTTCAGACTGTCCCCACAGATAACTGACAAGTTACGTCATAACGTTCCCAAAGTGGCTCCAAACCCTTGAACTGAGGATACCGCAGAAGTCTGTGACACCGAAACTGAAACCTTCAAAGCAAGACCCAATGACAGTGCATAGCCCGCACGAGCAGCTTTCTTATCAATCAAACCGCCTTCGTTGTTGAGAGAGGGCGAGGACATCGCTACAACATAAAAGATGAGACTCACATTTGATGATGTTTTGCGGCACCTGGGGGAGTTTGGACGCTATCAGAAATGGTTGGTATTTGTTCTGTGTCTCCCTGGCATCACCCATGGAATCAGGATGATGATAAGCGTGTTCCTCCTCAACGTTCCAGACCACAGGTGAGGAGACCTACTTTGCATGTTAACGATCTGACATATATAAAAACGGTATATGGAAGCATTTCGTTTTATCTACGTTTTGACTCATGCTTCTGAGTCGTCAATTCCAGAGATCTGGGGATATTGTAAGGTGTATTGAGCATATGTTAATCACCGCACTAACACTAAAAAATGCTTACGAGAAGGAAACCAGATTCTGATTTTATTTTTCGGATATGCCGGGCACTAATAACATGTCTATCAAAATGGCGGGTTCAATGCCCCGACACAACCCATTCTTTTGCTTGTATTGATTGTTAAATATTTTTCGTATTTGTGTATTATTTTATTGTTTCAGGCAAGGGTTATCGAATAATCTGCTTTGTTTATCTTTATATTTTTTCACCCAGGCCAGTTTAGTCTGGTTTCCTCTGCACTAAGAAACTAAATTTAACTGGATTGTTGGGTATGGCCTTGAGCCTAAAACGAAAATTGGGTAATCACCTTTTTCAAAAATCGGTATGCATTCAATAATAAATTGGATCTATAAAATTTACTTTTATTACCGGAAGAGGTAACTAAGGGGGTTAGGGGGTCATCGTATCCCTATTGCTTATATCAATGTTCATGATGATGAGTGGATGGTACCGGTCCACACTCGATTATTTACAGACAGCAGTCATGTGGCTGGAATATTGCTGAGTGCGGCATAAAACAACAAGCAAGCAAACAAACAAACAAGCTTTACTTCCACTAATGAATGTTTTTTTCTCGTGCAGTCTTGAATAATTAATCCCGATCATGACAAACATGACAAGTCTTCATATTTCCTTCAAACACACTGAAATATTTTGCGTACAATCGATCATGTTCGTTTGACTAAGTTTTCAAAGAACGTGATACGATTCTTGCTTAAAAGCTTTTTCATCAGGCTTAAAACATTGAAGGCCTTAGTAATGCTTCCAAAATGTTTTATGATCTGAAATGCATATTACATTTCCAAATTTGACGCATCAGTGTCAACTGATGTAAATAACTGTACCAGATGTTACTTTGTCGTTTTCAGGTTCACAATTGACTTGACTTTGTATGTATTTGTGACAGGTGCCACAGGTGGCCGCAGACCGCCTCCGTGGTCTAGTGGTAGAGAGTCCACTCGGAGAGCGTCATACCAAAAGACGTTACCCTGTCTGGCGCTCGGCATTAAGGGGCTAAAACAAGGACTGGTCGGCTCGGAGTCAGTATACTGTGTCTGAGTGGGGTATTCATGTTAAACTGCGGCATTGTGTCTCAGTTAGCTAGCACTATTAATCGGTATCAGTCCGGACTAGTACAATCACGCACACGCACACGCACACGCACACGCACACGCACACGTGCATGCATGTCGCTATATAAGTGCAATAACCTTGGACGCGACGTTAAACCCAATTTCACCTCACCTCACCTCACCTCACAGAGGGCAGCATACGCTCATCCTTTCGCGAAAACCTGGTATGATCACTATTGGATAGTGAGTCATAAACACATGTTTATTATGTAGTCAGAATAGCACATTATGTCCTGATTTCAGCAGAAAAGTCTTTGGAAAGGTTTTTTGTCGCTTTTATTTCCCACTGAAAAGATAATTATGCGTAACCCTACAAACATGTATAGACAGTAAATTTCCATTACGTTCAAGTCCCACTTTTAAATATGTCACCCACTTATCTCCGGACAGCCTAGATCTATATACTATAATCTTCACATTGCACAGATAAACACGTAGAAATGCCCGGATATGAGTGCCGGTTGGTGAGCCAGATCAAATGAGTAGTGTCCGGTTTGTTCAGCCTCTGTGACCCTCTACCAACTCTCTACCCACCCCTTTAATGTTTGTTTGTATGTAGGCCATCGAAATCCCAACGTTCAAATCGCAAATATATGGTAGGAAATTGCAAGCTGAGCAGGTACTCGACATTGAACGTTCTGATAAAACCAACGAGTACTATGGTGCTGACAGAGGTGAGGTGAAATTGGATTTAACGTCGCGTCCAAGATTATTGCACTTATATAGCGACGTGCATGCACGTGTGTGTGTGTGTGTGTGTGTGTGTGTGTGTGTGTGTGTGTGTGGCTGCTTGTACTAGTCCGGAATGATGCCGATTTATAGTGCTAGCCCACTGGGATACCATGCCGCAGTTTAACATGAATACCCCACTCAGACAAAGTACACTGACTCCGAGCCGACCAGTCTTTGTTTTAGCCCCTTAATGCCGAGCGCCAGACAGGGTAACAACAAGTACAATCTTTTAACGTCTTTTGGTGTGACGCGGCCGGGGATCGAACCCCGGACCTTCCGCTCTCCGGGCGGACGCTCTACCTACTAGACCACGGAGACGGTCTGGTGCAGACAGAAAGATCGGGTATTCGGACATGCGGTCAGCAGATCCCGACAGTTGAAGGAAGCAGATGAGGACAGCCATGTTAGCCCACTGCGAAGACAGAACTATAACAAAACAAAATAAAGGGCTAAAGAATAATAGTGTAATTTTCAACTCAGAGGTGAATCACTGGTAGCAGGAATTGCTGCTGAACTTAAAGTTGACCACTGTCGTTTGACGACTACCGCTGTTGGAATTAGGTTTTTCGGGAAATGAGACCTACTTCACAGAGTATTTTTAAGGCTTCATATAGAACAGGAACCGGTGGTATAAACTGTATTATTTGTTGTTTAGGTCAACAGACAAAGCCATGTTGCATTCTTCACACGCATGATAGTTAAAAATATCTGTTATCTGTTACAACATTGTTAATTCAAACCTCACACGGTTAAAAATACGCTCACGGTTAAAGAAATACCCCGTACAGCATCCATGAAAATGTTTTCCATTTGAAACCGTAATTGTTAACAGTTATAATACTATGTTTGAAAAAATCAAATATACGTGAAACGTATATTTCATTTCTGAAAACAGTTCGCAAATTCTATTTCTAGCTAATCGGAAAAAATGCCAGGTTTGCTATTCCCCTCCAACAATTCTGTTATGGCGTAGTTGTTAACAATGCAAATTAGTCGCGGATCAACGCATACAAATGTGAGTTCGCGGCAAAGTAAGTAGGTTAGAATTGCGGCATTCGTTTTGCCATCATAGTGGAACTGAGAACATACTACTTTCGTCGAATTTACTTCATTTATAAAAGGAAAAAGCTGTTTTTTGTTTGTTTTTTGTTGTTGTTTTTTTTTGCTTATTTTTTATTTATTTTGTATTTTGTGTGTGTATTTGTTATAGTTCTGGCGTCCCCCGCTGTGACAGTACTGGAGAAGTGCTATAAGAGTTCTTGTCTTTTAGACATCTTTTATATAACTGTAATACCAGCGATATGTTGTACAGACAACCATACATTCAAACGCATGCATCTCTAATTCAGCAACCAGTATCCATGCATCGACAAGCATATAAAATGTCATATGAAAAAGCTAGGCAAAGCAAGACCGAGGCTTGATTGGTTGGTTGAAAATGGCGACTGCACTGCAAAGCGGCCGTATGTATTCACGGGTGATGTTGGGACGTAGTGCATAGAAACCCACGAAGTATTGACAATGCAGACACGACCGCAACCCCTCTCTTTTGTCCTTCAGGTGTGCCATCCCCGGCTACGACAACGACACCTACGATGCACAGTCTGACAACCACGCCCGTCTTATCAACGCAACCATCCCCTACGTTACAAGAGACGGTAAACTGCAGCTCGACAGCTGTCACATCTACCGCGACGATGGCAACAGCACAAGCGAAGGCGCCAATCGTACAGTAGTGGGCTGTCAGAAGTGGGTGTTCGACAAGTCTGTGTTCGAATCCACTGTCTCAACGGAGGTGACCATTAACTTTCGTGGGACACTTCTGTATATTTATTGTTGTGAAAATACCCAAACATAGCAGAACAGCACTGTTAAAATATCAATAGAATGAAGTAGAATTTTCTTGAAGTGAATTTGAGGTCACAATCAGACCAGTATAATATAGCCTCATCGTCTCTGATGGGAAGGAGAAAGATGAACTGCTGCCTTTTTATTTGTTACAGACAAAGTGTAAATTCAAATTAAGGAAAAATTTCACCCGGCACAATACGAATGAAAATGACAGATTGACTAATTGTACTGAGTGCGGCATAAAACAACAAACAAGATATGACAAGATACAAGTTTGATATATTTCCACTCACATTAATATTTTTTAGCTCAGCTTCGTGTGCGACGACGCTATACTTGCCACACATTCTCAGATGATCTTCATGGGAGGCTACTTCTTCGGGGCCTTTGCCGCTGGAGCCCTGGGAGACAAGTGAGTAATGGCAATGCCAGGCCATCAGAAAACACGTGTAGGTAAACACTAAAAACGACTGGCACCAAAGTAAGCTTGCATGCATAATAGTAAACATTACTAGCATTACAGTAAGCACTAAAACACAATAGGAATACACATACAATAGTAAGCAAGAAAACAATAGTAAACAACACAAGAATAATGGCTTGATTGCTGCAATAGAAAACACGAATAACAACAGCAGACACGACAAGCACATTACTGACACAATAGTTGACATGGATAGTAAGTGAGTGTGGGTTAATGCCGCTTTAACTATTTTCGCAAATAACTGCATAGGACATAGATGTAATCCTTTGAACAGGTAACATCATCCTCTGACTTACTTTTTTCTTTGGCAGTACGATTTACCGTAAAATAAACTGTTGTGCATAGGCGCTTACTTTATCCTTTAGTGCATTTCCTTGTCACGCATGTGGCTAACATTCCAGACTTGGGGAACATGTGTGTGGTCTGTATCTAACAAATTATCACTTTGTGTATTTTTATCACATTCTGAGTAATCCTATGATTTCTATTTTAACGGTCAATAGACATGCTTGAGGGATTGAGAACAAAATAAAAAGCAGTCCATAATATCACTAATCCATTTCGTAATTAAGAAACATTTTACTGTTATATTTAATTTGTGTTCTTTTCGCAGGATCGGGCGGAAGAAGGCTCTTTATCTGTGTATCCTTTTCCTCACCATTGGAGGAATAATCCTCAACTGGGCCAAGAACTTCGTCATGTTCGTCATCCTCCGCTTTATCAACGGAACCTCTACAGCCGGAGTCTTTACCACGTGTTTCGTTATAGGTAAGTTATAAGAATAACGACCATCTCCTCCGCAATTACATAACAAATATACTTACTTCTACCACTACCACTGCTCGTACATATTTGTTTGTTGTTTAACGCCGTACTCACCAATATACCAGCTATGTGACGCCTGCTGTAAATAATAGAGTCTCTTGGCTTTTGTAAAGCATCCTAATGAATATTGACGTATACCAATCATATTACAAAATCATTTGGTGACACGTTTTCATCAAACTGAATACATATATTGGCTATGTTTTAAGTTTTGGTTTGGCTTGTATCACGAGGTGTATGTGACATGTTGTATCACGGGGTGTATGTGACATGTTGTATCACGGGGTGTATGTGACATGTTGTATCACGGGATGTATGTGACATGTTGTATCACGGGGTGTATGTGACATGTTGTATCACGGGGTGTATGTGACATGTTGTATCACGGGGTGTATGTGACATGTTGTATCACGGGGTGTATGTGACATGTTGTATCACGGGGTGTATGTGACATGTTGTATCACGGGGTGTATGTGACATGTTGTATCACGGGGTGTATGTGACATGTAGAATCACAGGGTGTATGTGACATGTAGAATCACGGGGTGTATGTGACATGTAGAATCACGGGGTGTATGTGACATGTTGTATCACGGGGTGTATGTGACATGATGTATCACGGGGTGTATGTGACATGTTGTATCACGGGGTGTATGTGACATGTTGTATCACGGGGTGTATGTGACATGTTGTATCACGGGGTGTATGTGACATGTTGTATCACGGGGTGTATGTGACATGTTGTATCACGGGGTGTATGTGACATGTTGTATCACGGGGTGTATGTGACATGTTGTATCACGGGGTGTATGTGACATGTTGTATCACGGGGTGTATGTGACATGTAGAATCACGGGGTGTATGTGACATGTTGTATCACGGGGTGTATGTGACATGTAGAATCACGGGGTGTATGTGACATGTTGTATCACGGGGTGTATGTGACATGTTGTATCACGGGGTGTATGTGACATGTTGTATCACGGGGTGTATGTGACATGTTGTATCACGGGGTGTATGTGACATGTTGTATCACGGGGTGTATGTGACATGTTGTATCACGGGGTGTATGTGACATGTTGTATCACGGGGTGTATGTGACATGTTGTATCACGGGGTGTATGTGGACATGTAGAATCACGGGGTTTATGTGGACATGTAGAATCACAGGGTGTATGTGGACATGTAGAATCACAGAGTGTATGTCAAATGTTGTATCACAGTGTGTATGTGACATGTAGACTGGCAGGGTGTATGTGACATGTTGTATCACGGGGTGTATGTGACATGTTGTATCACGGGGTGTTTGTAACATGTAGAATCACAGGGTGTATGTGACATGTAGAGTCACAGGATGTATGTGACATGTAGAGTCACAGGGTGTATGTGACATGTAGAGTCACAGGGTGTATGTGACATGTAGAATCACAGGGTGTATGTGACATGTAGAGTCACAGGGTGTATGTGACATGTAGAGTCACAGGGTGTATGGGGAGATGTAGAATCACAGGGTGTATGTGACATGTTGTATCACAGGGTGTATGTGACATGTGGAATCACAGGGTGTATGTGACATGTAGAGTCACAGGGTGTATGTGACATGTAGAGTCACAGGGTGTATGTGACATGTAGAATCACAGGGTGTTTGTGACATGTAGAATCACAGGGTGTATGTGACATGTAGAATCACAGGGTGTATGTGCCATGTAGACTGGCGGGGTGTATGTGACATGTAGAGTCACAGGGTGTATGTGACATGTACAATCACAGGGTGTATGTGCCATGTAGACTGGCGGGGTGTATGTGACATGTAGAGTCACATGGTGTATGTGACATGTAGAGTCACAGGGTGTATGTGACATGTAGAATCACAGGGTGTATGTGACATGTCACGTGATTCTACATGTCACATACACCCTGTGATTCTACATGTCACATACACCCCGCGAGTCTACATGTCACATACACCCCGCCAGTCTACATGTCACATACACCCCGCCAGTCTACATGTCACATACACACTGTGAATCTGCATGTCCACATACACCCTGTGATTCTACATGTCCACATACACCCTGTGATTCTACATGTCACATACACCCAGCCAGTCTACATGGCACATGCACCATGTGATTCTACATGTCCACATACACCCCGCCAGTCTACATGCCACATACACACTGTGAATCTGCATGTCCACATACACCCTGTGATTCTACATGTCCATATACACCCTGTGATTCTACATGTCACATACACCATGTGATTCTACATGTCACATACACCATGTGATTCTACATGTCCACATACACCCTGTGACTCTACATGTCACATACATCCTGTGAATCTGCATGTCACATACACCCTGTGATTCTACATGTCACATACACCCTGTGATTCTACATGTCCACATACACCCTGTAACTCTACATGTCCCATACACCATGTGATTCTACATGTCCACATACACTCTGTGATTCTACTTGTCACAAACACCATGTGATTCCACATGTCACACTCACCCTGTGACTCCACGTGTCAATAAACACCCTGTGATTCTACATGTCACATACCCCCACTGATTCTACATGTCACATACACCCTGCCAGTCTACATTTCACATACACCCTGTGATTCTACATGTCACATACACCTTGTGATTCTACATGTCACATACACCCTGCCAGTCTACATGTCACATACACCCTGTGATTCTACATGTCACATACACCTTGTGATTCTACATGTCACATACACCCTGTGATTCCACATGTCACATACACCCTGTGACTCTACATGTCACAAACACCCTGTGATTCTACGTGTCACATACACCCTGTGACTCTACATATCCACATACACCCTGTGATTCTACATGTCACATACACCCTGTGATTCTACATGTCACATACACCCTGTGACTCTACATGTCACATACACCATGTGACTCTACATGTCACATACACCATGTGATTCCACGTGTCACATACACCCCGTGATTCTACATGTCACAAACACCCTGTGATTCTACGTGTCACATACACCCTGTGACTCTACATCTCCACATACACCCTGTGATTCTACATGTCACATACACCCTGTGATTCTACATGTCACATACACCCTGTGATTCTACATGTCACATACACCCTGTGACTCTACATGTCACATACACCATGTGATTCTACATGTCACATACACCCTGTGACTCTACATGTCACATACACCCTGTGATTCTACATGTCACATACATCCTGTGATTCTACATGTCACATACACCATGTGACTCTACATGTCACATACACCCTGTGACTCTACATGTCACATACACCATGTGATTCTACATGTCCACATACACTCTGTGATTCTACGTGTCCACACACATCCTGTGATTCGACACGTGACACACACCCTGTGATTCTACGTGTCCACACACACCCTGTGATTCGACACGTGACACACACCCTGTGATTCTTCGTGTCACATACACCCTGTGATTCTACATGTCCACATACACCCTGTGATTCTACATGTCCACATACACTCTGTGATTCTACGTGTCCACACACACCCTGTGGTTCGACACGTGACACACACCCTGTGATTCTACGTGTCACATACACCCTGTGACTCTACATGTCACATACACCCTGTGATTATACATGTCCACATACACCCTGTGATTCTACGTGTCCACACACACCCTGTGATTCGACACGTGACACACACCCTGTGATTCTACGTGTCACATACACCCTGTGATTCTACATGTCACAAACACGCTGTGATTCTACATTTCCACATACACCCTGTGATTCTACATGTCACATACACCCTGTAATTCTACATGTCACATACACCCTGTGATTCTACATGTCACATACACCCTGTGATTCGACACGTGACATACACCCTGTGATTCTACATGTCACATACACCCTGTGATTCTACATGTCACATACACCCTGTGATTCTACATGTCCACATACATCCTGTGATTCCACATGTCACATACACCCTGTGATTCTACATGTCACATACACCCTGTGACTCTACATGTCACATACACCCCGCCAGTCGACATGTCACATACACCCTGTGATTCTACATGTCACATACACCCTGTGATTGTACATGTCCCCATACACCCTGTGATTCTACATGTCACATACACCCTGTGATTCTACATGTCACATACACCCTGTGATTCCACATGTCACATACACCCTGTGATTCTACATGTCACATACACCCTGTGATTCTACATGTCCCCATACACCCTGTGACTCTACATGTCACATACCCCCTGTGATTCTACATGTCACATACACCCTGTGACTCTACATGTCACATACCCCCTGAGATTCTACATGTCACATACACCCTGTGATTCTACATGTCCACATACATCCTGTGACTCTACATGTCACATACCCCCTGTGATTCTACATGTCACATACATCCTGTGATTCTACATGTCACATACACCCTGTGATTCTACATGTCACATACACCCTGTGATTCTACATGTCACATACATCCTGTGATTCTACATGTCACATACACCCTGTGATTCTACATGTCACATACACCCTGTGACTCTACATGTCACATACACCCTGTGATTCTACATGTCCACATACATCCTGTGATTCTACATGTCACATACACCCTGTGATTCTACATGTCACATACACCCTGTGATTCTACATGTCACATACATCCTGTGATTCTACATGTCACATACACCCTGTGATTCTACATGTCACATACACCCTGTGACTCTACATGTCACATACACCCTGTGATTCTACATGTCCCCATACACCCTGTGATTCTACATGTCCCCATACACCCTGTGATTCTACATGTCACATTCATCCTGTGATTCTACATGTCCCCATACACCCTGTGATTCTACATGTCACATACACCCTGTGATT